GAGATGGAAAGACTGGACACTTTCAGGTAGACTGCTCAAACAAAAGAACTGGGCGTGCAAAAGCTCAATTGCAGTTTCCATTAGTTTATTGTTGAGCACTTACCACTATTATTGAATATTGATATAATGTCATAAATGTGCATGTGCTTTAAAGACTTAATATTCAAAGGGACAGGTCCCTGACACTGCCATCATACAATCTTCAACTCAACACAAGGAGAAATAGAGCAGGAAGGGAGGAAAGTAGAGACAAGAGTGAGTGGGAAAGGATATGAGCTAAATTTAATCACACACTTTGGCTAAGTTTCAGTAGAAACTCTCTTGTTGTTGTTGTTTAGTCATTTAGTTGTGTCCGACTCTTTGTGATGCCATGGACCAGAGCACGCCAGGCACTCCTGTCTTCCACTGCCTCCCGCAATTTGGTCAAACTCATGTTGGTAGCTTCGAGAACACTGTCCAACCGTTTCGTCCTCTGTCGTCCCCTTCTCCTTGTGCCCTCCATCTTTTCCAACATCACGGTTTTTTCCAGAGAGTCTTCTCTTCTCATCTGGTGGCCAAAGTATTGGAGCCTCAGCTTCAGTATCTGTCCTTCCAGTGAGCACTCAGAGCTGATTTCCTTCAGAATGGATACGTTTGATCTTCTTGCAGTCCATGGGACTCTCAAGAATCTCCTCCAGCACCAGAATTCAAAAGCATCCATTCTTCGGCGATCAGCCTTCTTTATGGTCCAGCTCTCACTTCCATACATCGCTACTGGGAAAACCATAGCTTTAACTATATGGACCTTTGTCTGCAAGGTGATGTCTCTGCTTTTTAAGATGCTGTCTAGGTTTATCTTTGCTTTTCTCCCAAGAAGCAGGCGCCTTTTACTCCCAGGTAAATCTGGGTTCACCAGTTAGAGCTGCTACAGACTTGACTCTCAGCCTGAACCTTTCCATGGAAATTTGGCTTACATCTTCAAGCTCATCCCCAAATGGATGTAGAAATATGGTTTTCCTCAACATTCCAAACCAGCACAAAAGATCACATTGCATTTCTCCCTTTTCTTTTTGGGAACGGGAAGTATATTTTTTAAATTCAACTCCATTTGTTGCCATACTCACAATATGAGATGTACAGTCACTTCAACCAGTTTTCTCTGGGTTTTCCCTCTAGCCTGGATTCTCTCCCAACCACAAGACAGCTGTAGATGCTCACATTAAAACAATAACAACAACAAAAATCTGAGATTGCTCACAAGCTATCCAAGTCCTTGCTCCAGAAGGTATGGATTAAGGCAGGCAGAGGGAGTTAGGAGCAGAATAAAGTCACTCAATTAAAAATGTCTCTCTGTAGAGGAATGGAGATATCTGATGTTTTTGTTTCAGCAGGAATCATTTCCCCATGAGCTGTTGCAAAGGAGCAAAAGATGGCAGTGTTGACACATGCATGGGAGGCAGCAGCCAATAGATTAACATCTCATAAGGATTCTTAAGAGAGAAGAATCCTTCTTCTTCTCTGTGTTCATTTCTTCTTCATCAGGAGTGGAGCATAGAAAGCTGCAGCAGGCCCCTGGTTCATCTAGCTCAGGAATGTCAACAGTTCCAGACTGTGGTTCTCCAGCTTTTCAGACAGGAGACTGTCCCAGTTTTACCTGGAGATGCTGAGGATTGAACCCCTGGACCTTTTGCCTGAAAACCACTAATTCACACCCCTTCCTATTGAGCAAGAAGGACCAACCTTCTCCTGCACATCCTCTCAGCTGAAATGGAATGGGAATCGCTGTTCTTCCCTGAAACTTGTGTAGGAGAACTTCCCACCGGGCTTGTGTCCCATAGGGTACAGTCTGGAGCTGGGACGAAATTATTACCTCCAGTGAAATTCTGTAATAATTTCATCCTGTTTTTAGCAGAGGACAGGGAACCACTATGCTCAACTTTTGACAATTCAAAGTGTTGGTGCTGACCTTTAAAGCCCTAAACGGCCTCGGTCGAGTATACCTGAAGGAGCGTCTCCACCTCCATCGTTCTGCCCAGACACTGAGGTCCAGCGCCAAGGGCCTTCTGGTGGTTCCCTCCCTGCGAGAAGTGAGGTTAACAGGGAACCAGGCAGAGGGCCTTCTCAGTAGTGGCACCCACCCTGTGGAACGCCCTCCCACCAGATGTCAAAGAGAAGAACAACTACCAGACTTTTAGAAGACATCTGAAGGCAGCCCTGTTTAGGGAAGCTTTTAATGTTTAACAGACCACTGTATTTATTTTAATACTTTGTTGAAAGCCACGCAGGGTGACTGGGGAAACCCAGCCAAATGGGTGGGGCATGTATAAATAAATAAATAAATAAATAATCACACTGCCCTCCCTAATATGACAAGAAATGAGATTCTGACTAAACATTAGGAAGAACACTCTAAGAGTAAGAGCTGTTTGACTGTGGAATGGACTGCCCCGGACAAATGTGGACTCTCCTTCATTGGAGGTTATTAAACAGAGGTTGGGTGATCCTCTGTCAGAGAGTGTTTAGCTGTGATTCCTGCATTGCAGAAAGATAACCCTTGCTTATCCCTTCCAGCTCTACAATTCTATGATTCTATAACTCCATCCTCACCACACTTCTCAATAAAATCTCATATGGCCTTAAAATTGAGACAGAAAAATGGAAGCCTCTTGCAAAATAAAATAAAATAAAACTTCTTGAAAATTCGAGGACAAATTTCAACACAGTAGTGCTGATGGTTTTCTGTTGGTAAAGAGCTTAAAACACAGCGGGGTGGGGAATCTTATACATGTATAAACAGATAAATTGAGAGATGGGATCATCTTAATAGATGGTCCTGGTTGTGGGCAGGCCCTCAACCTGGTCCCCCCCCCCCAGCATGGGTGGTGTTATCACCCTTACGCTGGAGTGGCACCATAATCACCCAGGGATATTGCCCAATCATTTTGAAGGGTGATTGTGGGGGAATGTATAAAAGCAACAGCGCGACGTGTGCCAAGCACCTGCTTCGTGCTGCCGAACACCCGCCCACCCTCCCTTTAATTTAAGTGTCCGTTGGCCTTGATTTGGACTTTGGTTGGTTGCCTGTCTTGGGTTGGGGACCGGGTAAGAATTTTTTCCATTTGGTGAATTGGCACGGGCCACTTGTTTTTTGCCTACCTCTTAGCAATCGTCACAACTTTGTAAGGTTTGGCAGTTAGGCATTGGCTTATTGTTGAGTGGAGAAGGGGAGGCCGGCCATCGCCTGCCCCTCCATTTCAGGGGTATTCCGTTAAAGGAATCCGGGGCCTGGATCCTGTCCGAAGTCCACTTGAGGGACTACGGCCATGCCAGGCCTCTGGGAACACCAGGAGAGATGCAGACGGGTACCCCCGAAGCAGTTTCCTTTTGGGTGGTTTACCCTTACATACTTCCTGCAAAGCGGGCAGGAATCAGATATAGTCTTGCCAGTGCCTAAGCCAATACCACTCTCATTCCTGTAATCAACAAAGTTGTGGCCAAGTTTTTGCCCCAAAACCTTAAACAAAATATCCGTGTCTGTGTGAATTTCTTTATTCTAATGGGAGGTTGGCTTGAGGGTCTTGCCACGCAAGCTTCTTTTACTGAGCTATATATTGATTGCTCAGACTGCTGCATGAACTCTTTGTTGGATCGGGGCCCTGTTGTTTTTGTTTTAAAACAACAACACAACACCCTTACCCGTGCTTGCTCAGAAATAAGTCCCGTTCAAATAAGTTCAATGGGGCTTACTTTCAAGTAAGTGTCGGAAGGTTGCAGTCTTGCAGCACAATCGTATGCATGCCTACTGTAATGGATGTCCAAATTGAGTTCTAGGCAGCTTACTCCCAGGTTACTTGCTGTAGGATCGCAGCCTCCCCCCCAAAAAAAAACCAACAACACCAAAAAATGTGGCTTCTTTATTCCCCTAAGTCCATTTTAATTCCATATTTTTATCCAAAATATTTTAACAAAGAGAGGAGCGGTGGGGGGGAAACAGGTGTTCACACGTCAGGATGGATTTGTTGGTGTGTCAGAGAAAAGACAGCAAAGACTAAGAAACAACAGAGACAGGGAGGGGGGGGCAGAAGGTTTTGTTTTTTTTTTAAAAAAAAGTGTGATAAATTACTCGTTACCAAATGGAATTGTTTCAATCAGAAGGTTTTCATATTAAAAAAGAAACTCTGGGGAGGAAAAAAAATGAACTTGCTTCGTTCTCTATTCAAGCCTGAGCAAAAAGATCAGAGAGATTTATGACCTGTGTCTCTTTGAGTTTGATGCTGGAAAAGAACATGTTCTCATTAATAGTCATTTTCTCGTCAAAATCAGGCTTTTATGCAGACAATGCGCCAAGCTTTTGCGGAGCTGATTGTTGACAAAATTTTCAATAAGTTCAGCAGCCGCGAAAGGCACTTGGGGAAGAGAAGGGAGGAAAAGGGCAGCAGAAATCCAGCATTAAGTAAAGGGAAGGAGGGAGGAAAGCTCAGAAACCTGTCGAAAAACATGAAGGCTGGCCCAAAATGTACTAACCTAATAATGACAGGTGATCATCAGTGGGTTTTTTTTCCTCCTTCACTTTGGCTTAGAGACACAGGCTAGAGGTAAGGAGGAACCTAGGAATCTGCCTTAAAGGTAAAGGTAAAGGGACCCCTGACCATTAGGTCCAGTCGTGACCGACTCTGGGGTTGCGGCACTCATCTTGCTTTATTGACCACTTCTGGCGAACCAGAGCAGTGCACGGAAACACCATTTACCTTCCCGCTGGAGCGGTACCTATTTATCTACTTGCACTTTGACGTGCTTTCTAACTGCTAGGTTGGCAGGAGCAGGGACTGAGCAACGGGAGCTCACCCCGTCACGGGGATTCAAACCGCCGACCTTCTGATCTGCAAGTCCTAGGCTCTGTGGTTTAACCCAGAATCTGCCTTATACTGAATCAAACAAATGGTCCACCTGGCTTTATATTACCTACACTGGCTGGCAGCAGCTCTCCAGGCCCTCAGACAGGGTTATCTCCGAGTCCTACCTGGAGAGGCCAGGAGTTGAACCTGGAACTATTTGCATGCAGAGCAAATGTTCTGCCACTGAGCTAAAGCCCTTCACTAACCTCTTCCACAGGAAGCAAAATATGTTAATGTTTCTCAAAGGAAGATAGGGACATTCTGTCCTGCACCAGGAAGCTTCTCTGGCATTTGATCTGCTGCACACATATTTATCTGTCAGCTTGAGCCAATTACAACCTCTCCACCTAACCCACCTCACAGTATTGTTGTAAAGAAAAAATGTGGGTGGGGGTCATGTACAACACCTTCAACAGATAGATAAATGGGTGAAATAATTTTTTAGCTGTAAGCTGCACTGAGTTCCACTGAATGCAAACTGTGAGAGTGACCAGGAACATACCAGAGATTAAATCCTATTGAACTCGGTGGGACTTAGTTCTGAGTAAAAATGCTTAGGATTGCAGTGAGAGGCTGCCAAGTCTTTACCCAGTTACCTGGGAGTAAGCTCCATTGAATACAGTGGGATTTACTTCTGAGCAGACATGTAAAGGCTTGCAGTGTAAGGCTCCACCTACAATAAAGGAATAAACACTCAAAAGTTTCCTTGAAAAAATGGTTGGCTGGTGAAGTATTGCAATTGAAGAATTTAAAGTGGATATGTTATATTTCCCCTCAAAATTATAGAAAGGGCTTTGTATGCCAGCTTCACTATTTCCTTCATTTGGTGCAGGTATTTTATTTTCAGTGTAAACAGGACACTGTTTTTGCACCTACACATACACATACACACACACATGCAAAGGCTCCTGTTTCCAAAAAAAGGGGGCACATCTGATCTCTTCACCACTTTTTTTTAATTTTTATTGGAAATTTTACTTACAACATAACATAAACCCCCCACACCCCCAGTACAGAAATACAATAAGCATAACATACGACAATACAAACAACCAAATAAAAGACTTCCTTTATCCTCTATCTGGCCTCCTTATTTACTTCTTATAAGCTGTTTCCTTTATGAATAATTATTAAGATTTTTCTAATTATGACTTAAATATCTACAAAGTCTCCTGCAGACATTAATCGAAACAAGTCCAGGTATGTATTTTAGGGCACTGTTTTGTGAAGTATTCTCTGCATTTCCCTCATGCTTTTTGAAACTATTGTCTAGTGTGATCTCTAATTGCCTCTGTTAATCTAGCCAGTTCAATATACTCTCCGCCACTTTTAATTGAGATGAGGAGGGGAAGAAAAAGGAAAGTGACAACATTTTGAGATCAAATAAAAAATCTTGGACTGTCCCTGGAAGATCAAGACACTTGGAGTGTATGTAAGTCTTTGCAGAGTGAGTGTCATATTCTCTATTCCCACAAACCTTAAATCCTGCCTTAGAAGGAGCCTCACGATTTCTCTTCCATAGATGGGTGCTGGTGGTTTAAAAAGGAGCCCTGAAGGATCAGACCCGTCTAGTCCAGATCCCTGTTCTCATTTTGGCATACCAGATGCCCACATGAAGTCCTCAAACAGGACCAGCAAAACAGCAGGCTCCTCACTTGTGGGAGCAAGTGGTGTTCAAATAGCTGGAAGCCATCGTGGAGAGTAGGAGTCATGAATCATATTTGGTCCTAGTATTGCACCATACTTGTTGGCAGAAAGTGAGGAGGAATTAAAAAAAAAACATTTTAATGAGGGTGAAGGAGGAGAGCACAAAATATGGTCTGAAGCTCAACATAAAAAAAAAATGGAACAGACACAAGTAGCTACCAACATGAGAAACAGTGTGGTGTAGTGGTTAGTGTTTCGGACCAGGGATTGGGAGACCAGGGTTCGAAACCCAACTCAGCCATGTAGCTCACTCCCTGGGTGACAGTGGGACAGTCACTGCCTCTCAGCCTAACCTACCTCACAGGGTTGTTGTAGAGATTAAATGAGGGGGAGAACCGTGTATGAGAGTTTGTGCTCCTTTAAGAAAAATGTGGTGTGTAGATGCAATAAAAAGACAAATAAATAAATAACACCGCCATTCAATATGTTAAAAAAATAGGGTTGGGTGAATCTTAGGATGTCTCCCCAAACTGACCTGAAAATGAGCTGGTCTATCAAAGAGAAATCAGTTTCCCCCCCTCAAGTCAATCTGGGGTCCCCCAAAATGAAGGCCCCCCATTACACCTTGTCTCCCTTTCCTCATCATCCCAGTCCCCAATATTTATCAGAATGCACAGAGCTTCCCAGATAATCCTTGGGCTGCAGTTTGATTCGAAGTTTAATTATTTTGATATGTTAGTCCATTCCCTCTCCTCCTCCTCCTCCGCCCCCAGTGACACGACGTGATATTCTGCAGCCTTCCAGAGCGTTGTTTACTAATGTCACTTGTGCTACAGTGAAATTAGCAAGCGCTAAAATGAGGACGTTTTTCAGCACTGGGGGAAAGGAATGGTGGATGCTTGATTTATTATGATGAACTCTGCTAGATTTGTAACAAAAGAAGCCTGTCTTGGGGCTGCGTCCCGTTAGTGCCCTTCAAGTTATTGTCAGCTAAGTGCCATCTGTGGGGCTCAGCTCCTCTTGCAGACAAACTTAACAACATCCAGGAGACAGAATTTTGCAAAATACTTGTCAAATCTCCGAGCAAATCCTCTTGGCTTTCTGGGTGTATCAGTGCAGTTGCCCCAATGCTATCCTGAGCTGCTATCTCAGATAGGTGGTATCTGATGTATACTCAGAGTATACCCATTAAGTTCATTCATTTCAGGGGGTCTACTCTGAGTAAGGCTTGGCAGCATGCAACCCAACGTTTATGGGCCACTTCTGCCGAAGTTGGCCATTAAACACAACCCGTCGATCCAAAAATTACACAGTGTCTAACATATAAAAAGCACACATAGACGGCTCTGCTCCCCATAATAGTGAATGTATGGATCCCAGTGGCAATGAACTATGCATCTCAGTGCTGGACTCCATTGGAGAAAGGCGAGGGGTATATATATCTAATAGCTAAATTAAAAATTAATAATAAAATGGAGTTAGAAGTGCGACTCTCCCAGCACAATTTACTCCCCACGTAACGGAGATGGAGAGGGATCACATTATTATTATTATTATTTTATTCGTATATTGCTCTTCATCCATAGATCTCATGGCCATTTACAACATAATATTACAACACTGAAATGTGCGTCTGTGACAGAAATAGTGATAAAAAGGGAGGATAAATTGGGAAAGTGCAAAGAGGCAAAAGGCTTGTGGCAGCATGACCACATTTGGGATGCAGTTCCTTCAACCAAAGTCCTGACATACATGTACATTCATCTACTCCCAATTGGAGTTTTGATTCCCAGAGATCCAGGCTAGCTGAGAACTGCAGGAAGTTTCAAGGCAGACTAATGTTATCCCCACCCCAAGTTTCTTGAAAAGGCCAACTTGATGTTAGGATATTTCCGTTCCACCTTAAAAGGGAGCAGGATGATGGGCACAAGATGTTGGACATAACATTATGATGGCTGACTGGGAACAGTTATGGACCACAGGTATGAAATTCACGGCATGTAATGACTTAAGAGAGAATATTATGAAAATGATATACAGGTGGTACATGACCCCAGTCAAGCTTGCAAAAATCTATCATTTGCCCGATAATAAATGTTGGAAATGCAAAGAAACTGAAGGTACATTCTTTCACCTTTGGTGGACATGCCCAAGGATTAAGGCTTTCTGGCAGATGATCTATAATGAAATGAAAAAGGTATTTAAATATACCTTCCTGAAGAAACCAGAGGCCTTTCTCCTGGGCATAGTCGGCCAATTGGTGCCAAAGAAGGATAGAATTTTCTTTATGTATGCCACAACAGCAGCAAGAATTCTTATTGCAAAGTATTGGAAGACACAGGATCTACCCACCCTGGAAGAATGGCAGATGAAGGTGATGGACTATATGGAACTGGCGGAAATGACTGGCAGAATCCGAGACCAGGGAGAAGAGTCGGTGGAAGAAGATTGGAAGAAATTTAAAGACTATCTACAGAAATACTGTAAAATTAATGAATGTTAAAATGATGTTGGAATGAAGCTAAGGGGTTTTTAGTAGCAATGTTACAAGGAGTATGTAAAAATGGACTGCTAACAGATGAGAATATACAGTTATTATATATTAAGACAAAGGACTAAGATAAAAACAAAGAGGAAAGGATTTGCTGAATTAACTTACTGAACTGGAATACAAAAAGGGGAGGTGTGAGGAGGTCAGGGAAACAAGTGAATGAAAGACAAGATATGGAAAGATTGATTTGTTTTTAATTGTTTTTACTTTTTTGTACTTTGTATTCTCTTCTTTCTTTTTTATTTTTTTTCTTCTTTTTTCTTTTTCTTATTATTACTATTGTAACTTCTTTTTTATTTTTGAAACTTTAATAAATATCTTATAAAAAAAAGGAGCAGGATGTTTGTGTCACAGCCTGCGTATTTCCTGTTCACAGGATGTTTCTGTTGTGTCTATGCTTTCGGTCCTCTCTCTCTGTGTCTGAGACACTGAAGCAGGCAGTCATGTTTTCTTTGTTCTGATCAACGCTGAATAAACTTGTAAATAATGCTCTCCTGCGTGCATCTTTCACTGTGTGAATTCTGCTGATAGAGCGTGCATCAGCTCTGGAATATGGCAAGCTATTTCTGGAAGCTCATGTCGCTAATTGAATGAAACTGCATGTCTACGGGAGATCGATGGACGTCCGGAGGCGGCTTGGGGGTCATGATGGACTTTGTCTCCCTCGCAGTATCCCAACAACAGGTTATGGGCCCAGATTCACGGAACTTACAGGAGAGTAAGACTGCAAGAGAGGTATGTGGGGGGAAAGCGAAAGTGAGGCTTTTCGTTGCCACGGCAGAGTCTCTTTGAACTCCGGCCGGCTAATTGGCCTGGGAGTCGAGCCAAGCAGAACTCAAGATTTATGAGCTGCCGAGATAAGAAGTCTCTGAAGTGAATAAAGCTCACGGCTCAAGTAAAACCCTGGAATGGAGTTTTTACAAGCTTCTGAAGCTGCTCAGTGCCCAAAGTTAAATGGGCACAATTATGAGACCTGGGCTGTGTGGTGTGAGAGTTTGTTGCG